GTACAACAATAACAAATGGCATGCATGGTAGTTTATAATAAGTTAGAGTGTACAACAATACCAACTGGCATGCATGGAGTTTTATAATAAGCTAGAGTGTACAACAACAACAGCTGGTATGCATGGAGTTTTATAATAAGTTAGAGTGTACAACAACAACAGCTGGTATGTAGAAGTTTCATAATAATGTGGAGAATATAATAATAATAACAACTGGCATGTATGGAGTTTTATAATAAGCTAGAGTGTACAACAATAACAACTGCTATATAAGGAGTTTTATACTAATGTGTAAATCTCTATGAATCTTCCAAAAATCAGTCTGTCCAAAACGGTAGGTTGTATTCATGTACTCTTTGATTCTAGTCGTCAAACAAAACTAGCTAACTAAGCTTTGATCGACTTACATGCCTGTATACTTAAAAAAAACAAAAAAAAACAGGTAACTATCAGAATATGTCATAAATATTTATTTTGTTTGAAAATAAGAGAAACAGAATAAACGGGAAAACTGAACAGCAGAACCTATCTTTAAGAACAGAAAAGCATAACTTACATGTATTGCTTTGATAATAAAATATCATAGTCTGAAAGCCACAAAAAACAAGACAATATTTTGTGATGCAAGTTACAGAATCTACATACATTATCTAGTAGCGACATGGTAGCTTTTCATCTGAGAAATTTTTATACTGTAGTTGTATTTAGTTCACCAAAAATATATATTTACTGTAATTCGCTATTTTGTTATTGTATAGTTAAATCAACAAATTTATGGTTAAGTACAACGTATTTTATCAAATAAGATTCTGAAACACTTTTTTCCGTAGTGTACTATAAAGACTCTTTGATGAGAGCAGTCGGAACGTTCATTGTATGAAAATATAATTTTTTGTATTACCTTACTAGGCACGGAATAATCAACCAGAAATATATTTTAAGCATAATTTTTCGGAACTGTGTAACAATTCAAGGTATTACTGATTTAATTTCTAGTAAACTCAGACCTCACCTCGCAACAAAATCTCACTTTAGCAGAGTCTACAAATGCACCCCACGAGCCTATAGGTTTCTCTTCTACAGGAGAAAGGAACCACAAATGTGGAAGATACTGAACAAAAAGCCGCTGAAATTCCATCTGCCACATTTGTTCCATTCCACTGGAAATAAAGAAAACAAGGATACACCATCAAAAGATTATCATAAATATGGTAGTACCTATAGTAGGAATTGGACAGACGTGCAATATGTGCAATACAAATTAAAATATCAAACACGCTGCAAACAGCATGTAAGCAAAACTTTATAAGCACTTTACACACCCTGTTGAGTACTAAACAAATCAACTGCAGAATAACAAGCCATCAAAGCACTTGAAAAAGTCGGTAGAGTAAAAACTAAAATTTCACAAGACCACAAATTTGTCAATCTGATTATCTGAATGACTGACTGCCTAACTTATGAAAATCTAAATGCACATGATTGAATTACATTACCTTGGCTAAAAGCTTATTTATTAGTTTTACATATAACGTTAGTAATAACAAGTAATATCAATAACCGTTTTGCAACACTACTAGCGAGCTCACAATACACTAGTAGCTATATTCTATGATTATGAGCATACTCTGTGAGTTGCAAAGTAACAACCCACTCTCATATCACGTGTGAACGCACGATTGCTTGTGTATACACGCTATGTGATCTAACCTTTGAAAGCGAAGTTGTCAGTTCTATACATTTGACTCGAGGGCTGTCTGTAAGATGAAACACTTCTATCATCACAGTCAGTGCCTAAGACGTACGTCTTCTACGTAAGCACGAATGCTACCACTGCCGAAGTTTGACTCAGCTTTGCTCAAATGCTTTGGACTATTACTAAGAGCAATAAGTTGTATAATTTACCTTTGTATTGTTTTCAAACTAAATGTGACCTATTGACATCTAACATTGTACTTGAAACAGTGCGATTTTTAAAATATGCCTTTCGAGCAAACAAAACAAGAGAAAAGTAGAAAATCTTATGTTGATAGCCTTGAAAAGCATTTATCCCAGCGAAGAAAGCTTTACTACAAGAATACAGATAAGGTTAGAAACAGTAATGCCTAATTTTGCGAAAAAGGCCTTAGCCATTAATTCGGCCAAAGAAAAGGCTGTCATCCTGGCTAGATGGAAGGAAAACTATAGCAAAGATATCAGCAAAAGTCATGAAATGTCGAGAGATAGCTTTAAGAAAAGCTACAAGAAAGGTAGGCCTAGAGCCCAGTCACTCTCGAGACTTAGTGCCAAAAATAAAGCTACGAGACAAGTGTAAATCTTTTAAAAATAAAACAAAAGTGGGGAGTAGGAATGTGAGCACCAAAAAGTAAGGAAACAATGTAGGAATGAGTGGAATAACATTACAACATTTGGTGGTTTTTAACAGTGCAAACTCAAAGTGGGTGTGGCCATCGTTCCGCTGGTGATTACATATTCTCACATGGGTGTGCTGATATTACATATTCTTATACAAGTGTGCTGGAGTTTATATATTCTCACATGAGTGTGCTGGATATTACATATTCTTATACAGGTGTGCTGGAGTTTATATATTCTCACATGAGTGTGCTGGATATTACATATTCTCATACAGGTGTGCTGGAGTTTATATATTCTCACATGAGTGTGCTGAATATTACATATTCTCCATAAATCCATAATAATCTGTTACTCTGCTCTCACTTGTAAATCATATAATACGTTATTAAAAACAAAATTGACAAGTTAAGTAACAAACCTACAAACTATTATAAATACTAAAGTCACTAGCAAAAAAGCTATCAATGGACAGTGAGTTGAAAGAATGTCAAAGGTATAAGTTCTTTACCTTTGTGTTTAGGAAAATATCACAAAGTCTTGGTTAAACGATCAATTTCAATTATTGTTGTTGTTGTTTTTGTCTTATTAATATAATATATTGTCACTCTTCATATTATCAGTATAAGAATATTAGTTCCTCTATCCATCTGTTTGTCCATAGATCTTTTTTCTTTCTTTAAAATATAGCTGAATACAAATTTGAATGACTTTATTAGAAATTTATATAACTTTTAAGCCAGGTTTGTCGTAATTGTTTTCCCAGGCTAATAGAACACATGATGAATGATTATCTCATTACTTCTAATGAATCATTAACATTTAAGATTAATTGATATACATTTTCTTAGACAAAGATCTAGAAACAACTAACTACTACATTATGGCGAGGAAGTTTTAACCGGAAATATTTATACATTTCACTGTTATATGATTGCCTGTAGGTTAGATATCATCTTATCTAACTGTGTCAACCGTAACTTTGTAAAATGAACGATTATGTATGTCCTTTTTTGAGAAACATAGGGAAAGTTCCGTCCTATAAAGTGGCTACAAAGTATACTATTTACGCAATTACATCCTTAAAATATTAAGAAAACACAACTACCCATTCTTCTTTCTTTAATAATGCTGATAAAAACCGGTTTTACAGATAGTGGAAATGTACACATGGCTAAGAAACTTGAGTCAGTCCTATGAATACAACAAAGAACACGAACATGTCACAAAATTTCAATATCAATAAACCGTTGTAAATACAAGATTAGGAGTATTTCATATGAATCACGTAAAGTTATTTTATAACATAAAATTCAAAAAACACGGGAACAGTTGGTCTTTTAAGACTGTCCTTGCACAGCAATCTTTGAGAAAAGTAAAAATTTGAATACATTCTTTATTTTTCCTCTTTTAAACTTCTACAAACTGCTTACTTCACTACTACGGATAGTAGCTCATTTCATAAGCCATTCACCGTGTTAGACGAGTAAAATTGTCTTATAAAGAGCCTAGCTTCTAGCTTAACTTAAACTTATGTTTTCTGATCCTGTTGTGTTTAGAATATATCACAAAGAAATCAGAGCCCTTTATCTTATACGTTTCCCGTATAATTATGTAAACTTCAATACCATCACCTTTTATTGTTCTTTACGCAAATAAAAATAAGTTAGTATCTTAATCTATTCTTATGAAATAATCATTCCATCCCCAGATTCATTCATCATAGTAATCCTCCCTAGAACCATTCATCCTAGTAATCCTCCCCGGAACCATTCATCCTAGTAATCCTCCCCGGAACCATTCATCCTAGTAATACTCCCCAGAACCATTCATCATAGTAATCCTCCCCAGAACCATTCCTCCTAGTAATCCTCCCCGGAACCATTCATCATAGTAATCCTCCCCAGAACCATTCATCCTAGTAATCCTCCCCGGAACCATTCGTCCTAGTAATCCTCCCCGGAACCATTCATCCTAGTAATCCTCCCCGGAACCATTCATCCTAGTAATCCTCCCCGAACCATTCATCCTAGTAATCCTCCCCGGAACCATTCATCCTAGTAATCTAGTAATCCTCCCCAGAACCATTCATCCTAGTAATCCTCCCCGGAAACATTCGTCCTAGTAATCCTCCCCAGAACCATTCATCCTACTAATCCTCACCGGAACCATTCATCCTAGTAATCCTCCCCGGAACCATTTTGAACAAGACAATATAATATTTTGGATAAGGAGACCAAATTGCACCAAGTATTATAAGTGAGGCATAACGAGTGTCTTGTATAGAAAGATAATTACCTATTTCGAATTGTTATCAATATGTTTAACCCTAAAATTCTATAGCTTTATTACTAGCACCAGAGAATTGCTTCAATGGCTTAAGTGTTTTATTCATCACTATGAAAAGATCCTTTTCTTCGATTAAGCTATTGAGCGAGTTAGCGTTTATATTAAACGTGTGAATCAAATTAAGACGTGAAGTGTTTGTTCAACTTACCAACTGATTCAAGTAATTCTGTAATATCTCAGTATCCTCAACACTGATAAAAATACCAAAGAGTTGTATGTCATCAGAAAACTTTACTAATTTATTAATTATGCCCTATCAATATCATTGATGTAAATAATATAAAAGCAAAAATTCAAGCTCTGACCATTAAGTCACTCCACAAGGGTCGAATGTGATTAGTTTTAATTACAATCCAATTAACTATTGTTTTCCCAATCCCTAAAGATGAGGTTTTCTTAGCTAATCTTCTGTGCAACACCTTATCAAAGTCTTTTTGAAAATCCAAGTACACTAAATCCACACTTCTTCCTTTGTCTAGATATCAAGTAAAATCCTTGGAAAAAGATAACAGATTAGAAAGTCAGGATTTCCCTTTGATCAATTTTTGTTGGCTTTCATCGATGGATAATTTTTCAGAAGTATGAAAACTATAGCCTTCACTTCTTAGTTTTACTACTGAGCACTCTCCTTCTCGTTTTTCCACACAAAAAAAAACATTCTTTTCCATAACACTGACTATTTTCTATCTTGCATTTTTTTTTATTTCTGCTTCTAATCCTTAATAGCACAATTTTACTCAAAGCTATTTATAACTTATCTTAAAGTAAACGAGCTCTGTAAGTATAATGTATTGTATTTTTTTGAGTCTCCTGAAAGTTACAATCAAGCCCATCATTCTGAAACGTAAACTAGTTTTGACACTTATTGCACCAAATAAATTCCATCCCACTCAACCTCGAAGTATCTCTAAACATAATGAAGTTTACTAGTATTTATTCATCCAATAACTATATATTTAAAGATAGTTAAGCAAGTGCACACTTTATAGATTGTCTAGCACTAAAATCCTCTACTAACTAATTACATCACTTTTATTTACAAGTATCACAACTACGATATACACGACGTCTTTAATTACACAGACATATTTGTTAATTTGAATAATTTAACTTTCCAACAGCTACTGTATAATATATATATAATATTTTCAAATCTAAAGATGAATAAATTAACCTTCTTACTCAGCTAACACTCAGTATTTTTTATTTTAACCTAATATATAATAATCTTAGTATCGTATAACTTAGTAGTATCACGTATTAAAAACAAAAGAAATGAAACTTATCGATCCAGTGCTAAGCCTAATGCTGTAACTTTAGCCTTAACTGTACTTGTAGTAACAAAGCCTAAAATGGTCCAATCCAAGGGCGCAGAAACTGGGAGTGCTTGGAGGTGCAAAAGAGTCCCTTGGCTTGAATTACAAACTTATTGAGCACCTATTGGTTTTATTACCCT